GCTAAATTGGAGGACAGATAACGCTGATGGAATGATCATAATAAAATGGTGCCTAGTCATCATGCCATTGGACGGGTAGTTGAGCAGGCCGTGATCTGCTGAATGAACCGTTACCTTCAACCGCTAACGAGATCTTACGAAGTAAGATTTCTTAACCAGATTTGTAATCGTTCATGAGTTCTGGACTGTCCTTTATAGCGCACTGACTGATTACCTTGCGTATCAACTTCGGACCCAAAGTGTACTTGGTTCCGGTCTTCCGTTACTGGCCAGGCCAATTCAACGGTGTTCAAGTATTGTCTTGTTGTAAATGACTCGGTCTTCAACACTCCCCGAACAGTTGCTCCCGTGCTTGCGATCATTTTAGATTACTTGTTTTATTGGTGATTGTATAATTCGATTAGAGGCTCAGATAGTTCCGTAGTGAGGAACTCCTTTTGCCACCAGCCGGGCTCAATCTTTGCATGTGGACCTCTCCCAAAAACGGTGTACACATGTTCTGTCGAAGAAACTCAAAGATACTGCGGTGCTTGATTTACTCTGCCCGCTGTAGGCTGATCTGTCATTAGGCCTTCAAGATGTTACCTTTGGGGGATAAATTTAACGATGAAGACCTTCTTTCGAACAGATGTAGTCGGTGAATGTGCCATCTTCCGAAAAGTCCGAACTGTCCGTGGAGTACATTCTCGATAGCTCTCCAGTCAACAGTGTCGTCCCAGTTAGTCTGAGGAGCTTCTTACCTTCAGATGTACATTGCTTTCCCTGACCGTTTTTGGTCAACCTCGTGACGTTTCACCCATACATCCGCTTAAAATCCTCGTGCGCCGAATAACCTTTCTGAGTTTTCAGCCTTGCTGATTGCGGCTAAATTGTAACTGTAACCCGAACGTGAATGGCTTGAGGGCAGACAAGGTTTCTATAATCGGTAACATAATTCTGTAGACAACATTGTTTTGTCGTCTTTGGTGTTATCGTGTTACCAAATTTGTTCTCCTCATACATGTAATATTCGATTTGTCGCCTAGATCTTAGTTAGCTCCTGTCCGTTTCCCTTAGGCCCCATCTCTGACTGTAGTCTACGGGGAAAATAAACTACCGCACTGCTCTCACGATCGGATATAAAGTTAAGTGTAGTGAAGGCCTAATACGTCGAGAAAACAACTATTAGTCCATGCCTTGATTGTCGGATTTTTTCCAATCGTTCACCTGTGTAACCTCTCTACAATGATCACTGCTGCTGCTTCAACTCATCTCACAATCTCCATAAAATAGGTCCTCATATTCGCGAAATGCACTCATCTGTACACTCATTTGGTTTTACTGGGTGACTCAGATGAATCTCAGCTGAATCGCTCCTCAAATTGAACGGTTGGAGATATTGTCGGACATGGCTCAGTCGCGCCCTCGGTGGCACTGGTGCATCAAGGCTATTATCTTCAATGCATAGCTCTCTTCCCAACCCCCAACCCCCCAATTTAAAGTCCACGTACGCACTAATCTATCAGCTGCCGCCTCCAATGCGCAGCTACCTCTCCAAATCATCGATGGACGAAATTGTGGCAGCTACAACCACTGTACGACAAGTACGCGGTTCTTACAGCTGCTAATGATGATGAAACTGTGCTGCACAAAGGCCGTCTCACGTTTCAGCTAGTACGATAAGCCCGATAATGCAGTGTAGTTCCTTGTACGAAAACAAACTGGTGTGCAGATGAGTGTATTTCACGAATTTTGTACAGCTTGGGTTCAAGTAGAACTACACTTACCTATTGAGCCCCAAGAAGGGTGAAACCGGTCTTGGGCTGTCAAAGAACTCACAGCAACTTCAGGACTAGTTTCTTTCACGGTGGTTCTCATCTTTCTGCTTGGAATATACAACTCCAATTGGTACCAACATCTCTCCACAGTTCGAAAATAAACCGAGTGCCTCTGGGAACACGGAATATTTCATAATCAATATATATATAGAGAGAGCGCTCAGCTGTAACCCCCTTCAGGTGCCTAGCTGCCATGCCAACCGAAGGAGGCACGAGGGCTGGGAGACTGTCAGGTTGCCCAAGCCTAGTCGAGATGGCTCAAGTGGTAAGAGCGCAAATTTACTGACCGGAACGTCCGTGGTTCAAACCCGACCTGTATCCATAATCAATGCTGTACTCACATCCACTACTGATGGGTACCTAATTTTGATCACCAAATCTCTTCAAAAGCACACACCGCAAACGCAGAAACTCGATTGGTGGGTTACGTGGATCCAACCTTTTGCTTTAAACGTTTCAACAGGGATTGGACCCTATTGAACCCTACTCAACCATTCATTATACAGATCAGTTCAGCCGGGAGATTTCCTATATTCAACAAAGATTTCATTCTGTCAGCAAAGTCAGGCTATTTCGAAAAGCCGAGAAGCACCGTGCAGCGGTTTCATCTTTGTTGTGAATTATCTCACGGAACTCAAAGAGTCTCGAACCCACAAAACTGAACGTGGTCGTCTGGCCACGAGTGGCTGATCAGCTGTCACGTGGACAGGGCATGATGCCACTTCTCTTTCAGTAACGGAGACAACATCACGTGATCACATATTTACTAACTCCTCGAGTGACAACTTCGCACACAGTTCATCCTCCTAGGTTTGTTTACTGTCATCTGCTGACAAACCATTATTCAATTACGCATTGCGTGTGAAAGGATCGTGAAAAGATATTTTTAGAAAACCTGAAAAAAATATTTCTTAGGTGGCTGCTAGTCCTGAGTCATTCGCCGTGTAAGGAAAACTACAACGAAGCCTTTCATCGTTTCATCCCAAAACTTGTAGCAGTGCTGAAAATGGGTGAAATTCAAGTTACTTTTTTGTCTAAAAATCTTTTTATGAAAACGGAATCTTTGAAATAGGGTGGTCCTTCAAAGGTACCAATTCATGCGCAACCTGATGAAACCGGCTACAAGTTTCCTAGAAGTCATGAAACAAAGAATGGAACTTGGCCATAAATGAGCCGTCAAACTGAATTTCGATAGGATTCCTAGCGGAAGTCACATTCAATCCCTATAGGAGTAGCATGAAGTCGGCAGCAATAGATCACGTGTCCGCAAAGATTTCGAGTGAAATTGATGTGTTCTCCGGTAGGTCACCTGGATAGATCGACATTTACTTCCTTTCTTACTGAACACCTGGCTACAGGTCTCTCACCTCTGGTACCGAAATGAATGATACCTAGTGTCGCGTTGATGAGCTCTGTTCATGGCCCAAAGATACGCTAGAAAGCACTAACTGGTTTTCTGAAAAGGTTCTTGATGTTCGATCAGTCGCTTCTATTAATTCCCGTTCGCTTGCATTCTCTTTCCAATACCAAAGAATTGAATGACCACTAACTGTTGCCATGCTGAGTTGACTAAGGTTTTCCAGGTATTCATCAAGTTTTACGACAGTAGATGAACCATTTGGAGGACTTGTTCATGAGTGTGTTCGGGCGGCACCTGGGGTCGTAGGCTGAGTGAACAAGACTAGCCCATTGGTAATATGATCAACAGAGCAAATCGTCCTCTGCACCGCGCGCACATTTGACTTTGCATAGACGCGGACGTCGTGTGTAAACACGGAACGTAGTAATCATGAAACTACAAATGGTATTTGTTCCAGTTTCTCATACGGGGTGTACTTTTTCCTCCGCCGACCTGTACACGTTCATCAAAGTCGATTCCAACAGAGTTTGCAGTCTGGTAAGGTATTTTGTACTTCATTCAGGGCATATTTTCCTGCAGTTATTCCTCGTATGGCATGAGTAGACTCCAGAATTGCTGTACTTTGAAACTTACCCCATGAACTACCACGAAACGTCGTGAGGGATTCGTCACTGGAAAGTTCGGGCTACGCTAGCTGGTTATGACAGTTTCCACCACTAGCCCCCGTCTTCAGTGCAATAAAGTTTGACGGAACGATGAAAGTTTCCTTGTACACTGGCTTTCTCACCACTTCACACGAGCGCACATAGTGATGTTTACTGGCCTATCTTCATTGTGAATGACAAACCATCTACGCTCGGCTAATGCAGTGGTGTCAAATCAGCTGACATAGCTGTTCGTTCATTCGGACCGATCATGTTGATTTTAATCACATTCCCTTTCTTCATCTTCCTCTTTAAGCTTGTTCCGTTTTTAATCTCTATGATGTTCGATTCAACAAGTCCGGTGTTGTGCATAGGAAACCAGGTGTCCAATCAGACGTGTCAACAAACGGTTGCGGGTTGTAGTTTGTTGATCCCCGAACAGCTGATGGACCACGCTCATTCGCAAACTAATTTGGGTTTAACGAAAGACTCGGCTGAGTCTTATTCAACTAGAATATGCTGCCAGAAGAGCGTTCCATGTTTCTTTTGGCACGATACTTGTGATATCACAGCATATCCTCTCAACGGAACACACTACTTATAAAGCTGCCCAAGGGCAGCCACCCACGACCGGTTTCGCGCGTTTTGAGACTCATCAGGTGGGTCAAGTTTCCCCCAACCGTATGTTCCACTCGACCCCATGTTGTACACAGTTTTTTGAACACACTTTCCTTCAAAGACTTGCTAACCGCTCTTGACTGACTCGAGCCACTTCTGGTGCGTAATGCGATGTAATTCGCTTGGGCAAATCAGCGTGAATCTTTTTGACCTCTTTTCTAGACACATTATGCCGCAGATGTCTGCAACTCAGCAAGTATTATGCTTTTTCANCGTTGGTCACACCGCTGTTGACTGACTCGAGCCACTTCGGGTGCGTAATGCGATGTAATTCGCTTGGGCAAATCAGCGTGAATCTTTTTGACCTCTTTTCTGGACACATTATGCCGCAGATGTCTGCAACTCAGCACGTATTATGCTTTTTCACTATGTCGACTGATGTCAACCGATTGTCCATACACAGATTGCCAAGGTTGGCTCCATTCAGTTCATTCGTACGCTTGTTCTTTGATTGGCCAATCCATAACGACTGTCTTCTCTTCCATCTCTACTCGGCTTCAGCATTTCACGAACATCTTCTTGTCAATGAGCTCAATCAGCTGCGTAAGTCGTTGGAACAACGAGGTCTGCTCATACGTTCAGTATCTGATCCACAACAACAATCGTCTTTGGGGTCGTTTGCAGATCCCACGGGAAATGGTTCTTGTGGCACAACTACATCAACCGCAGGAGCTACCGGTGAAAAGACGGAAAGGACTTGTTGCAGTGCGAGCCCCGTGAGTGGTGATCCCGTACGGTCATTGCTAATCGCCGGACAGGTCTGCGATTGGCCTGGTTGTGGGGCAACCTTGGGTCAAGACATATCATTTTCCGAGTAAGTTTCTCGATCCACAGGACTGTCTCCATTGGTTGTCCAAACACCTTCGTAACCGGTCTAAACCAGTGTTCACGAACTACACACGCTAGTTTGGTTTCAGTCGGAGACTCAGTGGAGATTCCAGCCGGAGATTCCAGTGGAATCTCTCATATGTGATATTCAGTTTTTCTGTAGAATTGTGGACAGAAGAACCCCCAATGAACAGCGCAAAAGCAGGTTATCCACAAAAAATGGACGTGGCTTGAGTATGAAACAAGCTGCGTGAAGAACAACATAGACGATGGAGACTTTCTGATAACTGATTGAGATTAATGACGTTCCCAACTTGGACTGAAACTGATGTTGATAGGACTTTTACTTTGGAGGTGTCGGGAAAAAAATCGCCAAGATCAACCGCTTTTCTGGAAACCGGCAACCCAACG